TTCTGCCACATTTTAAGAGCCTAATTAGATCATTAAATGGACTGAAAATGCCTAGAAGGACAAAATGCAAAAGCTCCACCTATTAGGATAAGCATAACTTCAGTAGCCTTTAAAACAAATTACTTCCGCTATAATGCACTTTCTTTATTATTCTTATACTAGTAAGCAGTATTAACAGATAACTATGGGTTGGTCAATAGCAAATTGGTTAGCATTGATAAAATAAAATTCTAATCTTGTTTACCCTAAACAGCAAGCAAGTCAATAGGAGCAGGTCAAAAACCATCTGATAGGAGCCAAAACACAAATTCTATAGTAAAGGAATTATATACAAATATTAACATTGCAGAAAATAGAAGATGAAGAATTTCAATAGAGTTACAGACATGTCTCCAAGAGCAAAGTTGTTAGGACACCCCCTAAATAAGGAAGGTTTATGTTAAGAGGAGTAGGATTGTTGAGAATAAAATTCCATTGTAACTGTCATAACAGTTGTAGCCAATGGAATGTAGATAGTTATGGCAAGAAATCAGTGGTATAAATAAAAGCAAGGGAAACCAGAATAGGCATATGGTGACATCATTGTGTTTTTGGAGAGACTGACCTATCATATAGCCAAACCTATATACTATTAGGTAGTCTCCTCTACTCTGCCACATTAATATTGAGTTAGCGATTTCTTTGTAATTAATACTACAGATTCTATGAGATATTGCTACTAGTTCTTACAAAAGCTCTTAACAGAGAGATACTCTCCCTCCCTCTATGGCCACAACCATTCTCTCAAAGCTTCCTAATATGCCCCCTATATGATACATGCATAATATAACTTATAAAAAGAAAATGTATGAATGTGTGTCATAGATTACTATACACTTGTGTATTTATAATTAAAAAAATGAGTACAAATAATCAATCAAATCCTGTAATTACAATAACAAATATTCTCTAATTACAATAATATGCTTTCTAATACTTTCTTTTGAGTTGGAGTTTATATGTCATATAAGTTAACTTTGTTACAAATGTAGGCAACATTACACAAAAACCTTTAAGACTTTGTTTCAAAGTTTGGTAGGAGAGAAAAAGAAAGGGAAAAGAAGGGTTTGAGAATAAGAAAAGAGAAGAAAAGGAAGGAAGGAGGTTAACATAAAAACTCTTCAATATAAAGAAAATTAAAAACTTAAATTTATGGAAGTTTTAGAAGGCTTATAAAAACTCTCCCTCTCATGTTTAAAAACTTATTAACAATGATTACCATTAAATAAACATTTTTATTTCTCCTTTTTCTCTATTAAAATTAACTTTCAAACAAAGCTTTAGGGATTTAGTGAACATGTCAAATAACTAATCATCAAAATGAACAAAACTAGTTATAATTTCTCCTAAAAACATCTTCTCTCTCATACAAACTAACAATCTATCTTTGTGTTTAATCAGCTCATTGAAGAACAAATTTGATGCAATGTTAAGTACATCTCAATTATGACAAATAAATTTTGCTTCTTGTAAGCTTACATGTGCCTAATGCCATAACATTTAGCTTTCACACTAAATCTAGCAACTATGTTCTGAATTTTACCCTTCTATGAAACAAGTTTCCTCCTATCAAAACTCGTATATCCAAAAGTAGTTCTTTTGTTTGACGGTGATTGTATCCAATCAGCATCAAAGTAACAAATGATTTTGGCATTGCCTATATCTTCATATAACAACCCTGCATGCTTTTTAAATACATTGAAAACTACTTGTCATAACATTCCAATGGCTATTACGGTTGTATTAACTTTTTTACTACATTTGATATTGCTCAAGCTCCTTTTTAACTTCTAGACACTTAGGGTAAGATTGAGCATTACCTTTTTTTTCTAATTAGATGTTGATTGACTTTAATAATTTGCACACTCATAACTTTTTCCATACAATGTTATTTGTGTCACACTTTGTCAATGAACATAATTCCATCTTGGATTAGAATGATTAAAAGCTTGTTTTTCAGCTATGTTAAGGAAAGTTGTTGCTCTTAACCAAGCAAACATATGCCAGCAGTGTTAGGAAAAAAATGTTAGTAAGACAAAGAATGAAAGCTGAAATTGAAAACAAAAAATTAAAAGGAAATCTGAGAAGAAAATTTCATAGGAGAAAGATAATTGAACCAAAATCTGAGAGAAAAACAAAGCTTTTAAAAATAGAAAACTTTTTTTAAAAATGCAAACAAACATACCCCACTAAACTCTGTAGCTCTCATGGCTCTTATGCAGCGGTGTACTGATATAGTGCACTATTGATAATTATGTCTACCACCAATCTACATCCGTTTTAGCTAAATGCCATGCATAACATTATGTGTAGAGAAAGAACTATTAGGGTGTGTTTGGACATAAATTCTAAATTACCAGATTATATTTTAACTTTTTTAACTATCATTTCATAATTCTTCTAAATTCACATTTTGATCATCCTTCATTATTAATGTAAAATTCATAATTGCATTACAGGTAGAAACATAATATTGAATAATGGGCTAGGTAAAGAAATTAACAATGTGGTGAATGTTTTGTGATGGGTGAACTATGTTTTGCTGCTCCTCTTAAGTAATTGGTTGAAATCCGTTTTGTGGAATGATCTTAGGCATTGCAAAAAGAAACTTAGTGGATCAAATACCATTGGAACTTCACATTTCAGCAAGAGAAAAGAGAGTTTCCTTCTCATACTCAAGACATGCTTTCAGAAGCTATCATGACTTGTCTAATCAATTGGGATATTCACCATAAAAAGGGTTAACTCATTTGAAAAATAAGAAATAGAAAATTAATTAAATATTAAAAACTAATTGAATGTAAAAATACAAATTATATTTATACTTCTTTTTAAAAATATAAATAAATAAATTTGTTCAATATGTCATTCCTTCGACAAGTGTCATATTGTATATAATTTGACTTACTTAATATTGGATTTAACTCATCTCAAAGAGAAGATATGTTTAAAGTGAGAACTTATCGATTATTGAATTTAATTTAAATATTTTATAAATATAACTAACTTTAATTTAAAATAAATAAGATTTCACTTCCTTACTTTGTATATTTTAACTTAAGGAAAAGTTAAATATTCAAAAATAATGGTCAGACAAGCTGTTCCAATAAATTAAACATTTTTAATATATCTCTTTATGGTTATATTTGCAAATAAATTCTAACATACGTAGGATAGAACATTAAAATCATAAATTGAAATATTTAATAATTAGTAATTTTTACGTGTTTTGTAAATAAAGACAGAAAATAATTATTACTATTAGTTTTATAGTAAACGTAGTTAATAACACGGTTGATTTTAAATAATATTTTAAGTATATTTAATAGTGTTGGTATTAAATATGTAAAATAATTATATTATTAATTTTAAATAATATTCTAAAAACATTAATTTTTAGGACCGAAATCAACTAATATAAAACTGTATGTCGTCAGGTAACAATTATTTTTCATAAAAGAATTCTTGAATTTAAACCCTACCGACAGTCCTTAATTATAGTAATACGCAAATACCATTATAAATTCTTGCAACAGCACGTGATTATTTTAGAATTGACATTTCTAGATTTCATTCTTTTAATATCTTTTAATTAATTATTAGTTAATCTCCACTTAAAAGAGAGAAGCACTTATATTTGCCATATTCCCTTGTCAAAAATTAGATACTTCAAAATAATGTTGACTATAATTATTCTTTATTGGCCAGAAAAAAAAGTTATTGGGTAATTAAGCATAACTTTGAAAACAATTAATAGTCGATAATTTGGAGATAGTCTTGTAAAATAGATCAAAACCCTTTAAAAAAAATCTTATAGAAAAGACTGAAAAGAATGTAACATAATATGAAGCGCACACTATTAAATGACTCTTTGTTTTAAAATTTTTAAATTATTAAATATGATTAAATTATATATAAATTAATTTAACTATAAGTTTATATTAAAATATTTATATTTATTTTTATTAAAAAAATACAAGATTTGACTTTTCATTCCAAAACAAAAATAGCTACGTTGTTTCGCGTGGGTAAACATTAACTTGTTGGCAAAAAATCATGTTAGTTTCGAAACATTATGTATCATTTTGGAACATGTATCACTTTGATGGTTGGCTTCTTCACCTCCATTTTTAGGATGAAGTATTAAACTTCAGGTTGTAGTTGTTATCCCTCACCTACATTATTTATACAACAGAATTAACCATTATTTAGCTAGTGGCATCCATCTATGGTTTTGAATAGTGGATCACAATAGTAACAACTGAGAACATAACTATCTTGCATGTCTATTACTTTGTTCTGGTTTCATTTTAGATTTTATTTTATTTTTTCAATCCTCCCATGGTACATGTTTTTTTACTTTAAAATATCTTGTGTATGATTAACTGTAAAGAATTAGTTACTATAGGAGTATAAAAAATTTACTCCTATTATATGGTATAAATTAACTTCATATTAGATGTAGACTATAATTTTGCCCGGGCCAGCAAAATAAAATTGATTTAGGTGTTATATAAAACGTATACTAATTTTATAAAATATCTTATTTGCAATTATATTTTTCATAAAAATGAAATTAATTACTTTATTTACTTTGTAGTTAGAATAAAAAAACCTTTTTGGTAACCTTATTTTTCAATGATTAAATCCTTTTCTCGAGTTTCTAATCAAGAGATTGATTCTTTTTGTGGGTGTATTGTTGACACCAAGTTGTTGACACCAAGGTTTTCTTCCCACAATTATATGAAAATATCACAAGCAATTAAAAATCAAAATAGCTGTAGCGAAGAATGAGCAAATGTATATGACAGGAACTATGCAACACAAATTAAACAAAATGAGAAATATAATTCTAAGCTTCGAGTTTGTAAATACTAATTAGTGAGATAATAAATCAAATAAAAAGTAGCTAGCAATTCTGTGATAATGAATAGAAATAAAACGAAATCGATCAATTTTAGGCTAGAAACCAAATAAAATGCTCATTATTTAAAAAGAAGCCTTCTACATCTGTTTTTCTCATCATAAAATTGCTAGATTGAATATTAAACCTTACACTTCAAACCAAAAGATTGAAACTTCCAAAAATGGTAGATGTGATATTGGATTCATGTGAAATTTATGAATAACCCTTTGTCTCATTTATGCAATATGCCCTGCTAAGGTAAGAATCTTGACATGCTGCTTCTGCCTCAGCTCATGAGGCACTGGCCCAAAAACTCTGGTCCCAATAGGCTGGCCTTGCTTGTCAACAAGCACCACAGCATTGTCATCAAACTTGACCTCACTGCCATCACAACGCCCCTTCTGCATTGCTGCACGCACGACAACCCCATATACAACCTTTCCTTTCTTCACTTTTCCATTAGGATGTGCTTCCTTCACCGATGCTACTATCGTGTCACCTAATCTTGCCCCTTTCTTACCTTTCAATGCCTGTATGCACATCACCTTTTTAGCCCCCGAGTTATCCACAACCTTGAGAACAGTCCTCATCTGGATGAAGGTGCGTTGCTGCTGTGAAAAGCCAAAAGATTGTTTTACCAGAGTGAAAGAATGGATTTGTGACTCATTTAAAAGCATGTATATCTTTGCAGTACAAAGAAAATTTATAGTTGTTCACTGCAAACATTGACAAATATACAGTTAATGAAATAATCGAAATTCATACACTGACCTGAGAAAAGAAACTGCTACATGTCATCTCATGTGATGTGGTAAATAAACCAAGGGAACTGTTGCTTATTCCACCAAACAGAGAACGGCCCACTATTTTGATTTTTCAACACATGAAACAAAAAGAAGTAGCCAGTTGAACATGAGAACATCATCTTTATCAACATAAAAAATATTCACATCATGGTTTAGTTATAAGGCTTGATTGTTGTATGGTTTAATTATAAAAGAGAATGATGTGTAGGGCAGTCGCAGTGGCATAAGAGCAGGCTCAATAAATATCTCAATTGAATAATGCAGCTAATACATTACATGGAAATTTTGGTTGGCTAAAAGATGAAGTTGTTGGACAAAAATATTATTGCAAGCATGACATTTTTCCAGCGCTCAGTAATTTTAAGAATGGATAACATCTTTCTATGATGAACTACATAACAGAATGATCAGAAATTCTCCCAGAGTAATAAATGATATTACAGGTGAAAGGAAAAAGAAAATACATCGGCTCTAAAGAACAATAAATCCTCAGTATGTCAGACATATAAAACATCCTTAAAATGAACCATGTAGTTAATATACACAGAAGTAAAAAGAACAAGCACAAATAAGGTGAGGATGAAGATTTTGGCTAAACATACTGGAATTATGTTATGGCCAAACACATGACACACTAGCAAGAAGAGTGCAAATACAAAGCAGCTTATTGTCTTTCAACTCCTAAAAGCTTGTTTCATTTTCAGTTAGTCTAAGGAGGTTCAGCAGAGGCAATTATGTGATCTTAAAGTAACAGATATCAGTGCTTTATAAATCTTTATCTATACTTTCACTAATGTAAACAATATACCATGCATTTGTGAACAAGTCAATACTACATTACTAGAAACAAATTGATGAGCTGATATACCAGGAGCACAGTTCAATAATGTACTTATACAAAAGTTGCAAGCAAGAAGCTGAGCTTGCCTTATGAGTTTCATCATCATGGTTCATAAGTAGAATGTCAGAAACCAGTAAATAAAAATGGAAGAAACTGAATTAAGAAAAAAGAAGAATGTATAACAGACATGAATTCTGCATTACCCACAGAGCTAGGCTCCTATTCCACTACTCACAGAAAAGTTAAGAAACTGACTCCTCCCACTTGACTGATCCATCTATAAAAAGAAAATACATAACTGTCTACTATGTGTATTTCCCATTCTTCCCCTCCTGCTCAAGCCCCTTTTTTAATCTTTTGACTATATGTCTATCTCAACCAAGGGCCATGACCGAGTTGGACTGGCTTCACTAACTCTTGGAGCCTTATATTGCCTCCCTCTTCAACATAGGCCTTGTCCTCAAGGCTAATACTTGGAAACTCATCTGCAACAATGAATGCCTCTTCTCAAGTAGCTTCTTCAACAGGTTTTCCTTGCTACTTAATCAACCAATAAGGAACAATAGCCCCCTTTTTCTTCTTTTGTTGGACTGCTAAAATCTGCTCTGCAAGCAACTGCTCAGCTATTGCCACTGCAAAACCAGAATGTAAGTCAGCAGCTTCATGGTAATTTCCAAATGCCTTTTTGAGTTGGGAAATATGAAAAACGGGATGAAATTTAGACCCTACAGGAAGTTTCAGCAGATATGCTAGTGTCCCTAATTTCTTCTGAACTTGGCATGGTCCATAGAACCTTGCTGCCATCTTAGTGTTTATTCTTTGCACCACTATGTGGCCTATGTGTCCTTGAGCTCTTTGTAAATGACACCTCAGCTGTCAAATTGCTTCATCCCTATCACAAAGCTCCTGTTTCACAGACTGCACTTTAGCATTGTTGGGCATGAAAAGGAGTTAATCCTGTAGTGACATGAAAAGTGGTATTATACCACCACTTTGCCCAATGCAACCAATTATTTCAGTCCATCCATCAGTTTCAGGATGATAAGAACTCATTGAGTTTGGTACCCTGTAATTTGAAGAGTTGGGTCCAGAAATGACTGAGAAAAAAGGGATTTCTCTCACTAACAATTGACTTAGGAGCACCATGTAACTTAACAATTTCCTTAGTAAACAAATCTGCAACTGTGTTAGGTGTAAATGGATGCTAGAGTGGAAGAAAATGAGCATATTTAGAAAGTCTTTCCAAGACAGTATCATACCCATTTGATTTTGAAACTGCACAAAAAAAAAAAATCAATACCAATGTCTTCAAAAACTTGCTCAGGGATATCTAAAGGCTGCAACAACCCAGCTGGAGATTGTCTAGTATTTTTTGCCTCAGACAAACATCACATTCACATACAAAATCTTGCACTCTTCTCTTCATGCCACACCAATAAAGATTTTCGAACAACCTTCTATAGAAGTCATATTAATATATTATCCCGAATGTCTGTGTGCAGGCATACAATGAAATTCTTGGAGTAGAATTGGAATACAATTAGAATTAGCAACAATAACTTATGTCATAATAAATAGAATACCATGCTGTAAAGAGCAACCAGGTCTGGAAGAAGTGTCCTGCTGAAAATCTGAAATAATTCCTTTCCTTGTAGGTAAGAATCATGTTGAATTTCTTCCTTCAACCTTACTCGAATCTAACCATTCTTGTGTAGAAACCAAAACTTGTAACTCCACTTCTTCATTGCATCTGGACAAAGCATTAACAGCTTTATTTTGACAGTCAGGCTTGTAGATGACATCAAGTCATATCCCAATAATGTAGCGAGCCAACAGTGCTGATCAGGGGTTGAAATTCTTTGCTCCAACAATTGCATTAAACTCCTTTGATCTGAGAACACTTTAAAATGCCTCCCCAAAAGATAAGGCCTCCAATGTTGAATTGATAATGCTAATGCCACAAGTTCTTTGCGGAAGGCAGATTTTGCCAAATTCCCTCCTGAAAGAGCCTTATTAACGTAGGCCAAAGGTTGTCCTTCTTGCATCAAAACAGCCCCCAAGACCCTACCAGTTGCATCACATTCAATCACAAATTTTTTGGTAAAATCTGATAACCTTAGAAATGGCTCTCCGTAATAATTTTCTTTAGTGTATCAAAAGCTTCTTGGGTTTGTTTCCCCAAATAAAATCCTCCCTTTTTTGTTAATCTATTAAGAATTTTGCAATTTTGCTATAATCCTTAATGAAATTTCAGTAATAACCCCGTTAACACAAGAAAAACTATCACCCTTTTTACTGTTTTTGGAATTGGCCATTCCAAAACTCCTCTCACATTTTCAGTATCCATAGCCACTCCTTTTCCCAAAATTACATGGCCTAAATACTCACTGATTTCTTGCCAAAATGACATTTGATTTGATTAGCCACCATCCTATGTCTCTTCAAACAATCCAGCACATACTCTAAGTGCTGCATATGAGATTTCCAATCTCTGCTATACCAAAATATCATCAATATGAGTTGAGTACAAGCCATTCCACGCAACTCCCAACATTTTCTGTTATGTATTATGGGTTGTACTATACAAACCACACAATAAGTTTGTTCTTTCAAATATGAAAGGCCTTACTCAGTTCAGTTTGAATTCAATAGTCAATTAAAAAACTGCTTATACAGGTAATTGTACCAGTACAACCAAATTAATTCTTGCAACATAGACTTGTAGCCTGTTTGGTTCTACATAATTTAGTTTGAATGCACATATTTTAATGCTATGCACAGTAGCTTTTGCACTGTAGATGCACATTAATAACATATTCACTGTGTATCCAAGCAGACACTCAGCCAAACTAGTGTTATTCATATCAACAATAAGAAACATTTGGGGCACTACAACCATGGAGCTCACTCGAAACATCAAAATTGTAAACAAAATTTTCCCTTATAACATGCCAAATGAATCCTACAATCCACATATAATTTCAAGGTAAAGAGAAACAGTAGACTAAACATTCCCAAAATAAAATAAAATCTGATGCATGAAATTTCAGCTAAGTCCAAACATCAATTTGATAAATAAGTGGCAAAAAAAATTGATCAAGGTAGTATCAAGTAGTTACACAAATATGAGATAACAATGTAGACAACATTCAAGATCCTGGAACATTTCAACATAATATAATTGTAACAAAATCAGCTTAAAAGTTCCATCGAACTAGAAGCATTAATTAATGCATCATTACGTTTTAGAAACAGATTTCAATCTAAACAAAAAAAATCAGAAAAAATAAACACAACTTGGTTTGTGAAAATAACATACCATGAGAACATCTGGAAGCAAAGGTTGCAGCCATCTTCAAAAATTGAAGTCTTTTTATTCTGTAGAAAAATAAAGACATGAAATTTATAGTGAAAGATGTAAAAGAAAATATACCTAGAAACAAAAAGTGCTTCAGAATATGCTACAAAAGAACTGAAAATGAGAATTTGCTCAATTCGCACTGCCACGTATATATCTATATACTGTGTGTGGGTGTAGGGATGTTCATGGGTCAAAGCAACCTGACTAACCCGATCAACCCAATGAATAATGAGTGGGTCGGTTCGAGTAAACGAGTCTATTTGGGTAAAAAAACTGCAACCCAACCAAATATGGGTTGGGTCACGATAAAATGGTGAAAAAACCCAACCCATGGACTCAATAGCTGTGTTAATTATAAACAAATATTCTTTTAGGAGGGAAAAGTGAAACAAAAACCCGATTTCTTTTAGTATAAATATATTATTTTTCTATGCTCCTAGGTATAGTGGCCGTAGTTGTGCTAGATCAAAAATATTCATTTTTGACCTCAAAGCAGTATTGTTTGGGAGGGGGCGGGGGGTTTAAAAACTTCCCACGATGCAAAATCATTTTTGTTTTTTCCTTGACTTTTGTTGTTATTTACCATTACGTTTTGCTTAAAACCATTACTTTTTGTTGTTATTCTTTCTTGGTTTCCCTATTCCAACCCCACCTTACCTAAGTGTCACTAGGCATCATTAGCTCTGAATCACAATATATTTTTCTCATATACTGCTTGATGAAAATGAGAATTGAACAGAGTTTTCTTCAAGGGTCTTACTGGGAATGCCATAGAATAATATTCCACCCCACCTAGGTGATTTGATCAGTAAAGCACATTTCTAAAAGCATCATGTTCACTTTAATTTCATAGACACACAAATGTGTATTCGTGAAGCTTAAAATAACAGAGCATACAGCAGAGCATATCATACACAAGATGCAGAGGACTAATTATACAACTATTTACTCAGAAACAAAAATGATATCACATCAAAATGAAAGGCCAACGGAAGTTGGTTACCTAGAAATGAAAAGTGAACCTCACACTGTTCTCACTTGTCAGGAAACTTGAACTAGTTCAAAACCTGATTTGTGCATATCACAAAAAAAAAAAAAAAAAAAAAAAAAACCTGTATCACCTTAGAAGATTCAGCAAAACAGTGTGTAGAATGTATCAGCAATTAGTAAATGAGCAACCAATAACAAAAACACGTTAAGAAATGAGGAAACCTATATCTATACCTGAATGAAGACAAGTGACTAGGTAAGAGACGAAAGATGAACAAATAGTAATGCAATGCTGGTGTACGAAGAAGCAAACACCAAAGGGTGCAGAGAAGCAGCGACAGTAGGGTTATTTGGGTAGTTGGATTTGGGAATTAGGGTTCTTGTGTGTGAAGCGTGAAGGCAAGGAATGAGATTGAGAGAAAGAGAGAGAGACTGGCGCTGAGTGAAGAGTTTTTTTTTTTTTTTTGGGTCAACCAAATTACAATGTCAAAAGGCCAAAATAGCAAAGCCCAAAAGCACAGAGGATTAAAGCTTCTTGATGAGGAAAAAAAAGAAAAAGGATTAACCCTTCTTCAGATGAGAAATGAATCACTGTGTAAGCATCTAAGCAATTGACTCAATACTAGCCATTGCTAAGAGCTGATAAGCATAATTGCAGCCACCTTCTTTATCTTCTCAACTTTCCCTTTTCCTGTGTGCTGGTTCAGATAATTTTTCAAAATTTATAATTCAATTCCTAAAAAATTTAAATTTTTTGTTCAAGTACTCTTAATATTTTTGTTTTTTATGTTTATTGCTATAATTAACATTTATTTTTATGATTTAAAATGACAAATCTTGATAATTTCCAAGGTTTTGGAGCAATAGTAATTTGTTTATTTTTATAATCCAAATTTTATTCATTGTAATTATACTAATTCATGCAACGTATGGTTTCGAAAAGACTACTAATTTATTGAATAGTTGAAATTACATATTTGTTATTACATTAAAAAATAATATATAATATATTAGTTTAATTTTTATTATTTACATATACACTACACTAAAAAATTACAATTTCTTAAAAAATATAATACAAATTTGTGATTGTTAAATGAAATATTAACATTCACATTGTTTAAGAATATACATTATCATTCCAAGTTAGTAATATTTCTCGATAAACAATATCAATAATATGATTCAGTGATATGTCATCATGATTTTCTAATAAAATTCATAATTTTTTATTTCAAGTAACTCTCAACAATGTTATCATATAATTGATCATGTCTCAAAATTGAAATTGGAAGATACAATTTAACTATAGACAAAGATGTCCTTAAAACTTGTTAATTATTATTACAAATGACACAAGTTAAAAAAATTTGTCTTTATTGAAATTTAATAAACAATGTTAGAAATGATGAAATAATTGTCATTCTCAATATTAAAAAAAATGTTTTCAACATGGCTTTCTGTGAGTACTTGACATTTAATCAAATAATTTTTTAATTTTTTTACTTGTAATTTAGTTCCATTATTACACGCCATTTTACTGGTATGTATTCTTCACTAACATAACTAAAACACCAACTTTTAAAATGAGCTCACTTAATTAATTCATTAAAAATCTCAAGGTTGAAAAAGTTCCAACTTAAAACCTGATTTACTTTCATATGTATAAAGTAATTTGAATATATACGGAGAAAGATAAGTATATATTTATAAATCAATATTTTATTTGTTAATAAAATATTATATTAAATAAAATCAAGTAAACGAGAGAGTCTCTTATTTAGTATTACTTTTTTAGGTTATTTTTTAAGTTAAACTGAAACTTTTTCATATTATAATTTTAAAAATTACATTTTATTTTCTACGTATTTAAAATTACTTTTTTTAAGTTACTAGTAAGGTAATCTTGTCTTTAAAGTTATAATTTTTTGAAAGATATATTATTATAAAAAAATTTAAAATATTTTTAATTTATTTAACTTTTTATAATTATTATTAATAATTCTTCTTATACTTGATTTACATCTTTTATTATTAATATCAAATTCTTAATAATTGTAAAATTCTACATCTAAATAAAACCTCAAACTCAAATATAAAATACACCAAAAAAAATCATCATTTTCGTTAAAAAGAAAAGAAAAAAAAAGAGGGTATTCTTTGTCTAACACCACCTCTTTCTAAACACCTATCCCTTGATCAATAACTTAGTATAAGATCCCAATCTATGTTATCTATTTGATCCTCTATGTGTTGGGTCCATATATGTTGTTCCCAACCTCTAACTTGTTTCAAGTGTAGCTCCCTCATCGATTATGTTTGTTTAATTCTCCAATTTCAACTTTTTAGTTTTCAAATGGTTTAAGTTGACTCAACATGGAATATTATGTTAGAATATTAACATCTACTATTAATGTTGTAAGTAAAATAGAGTAGAGTGTTATTTACCCTAATAACTAAAAATTGTATTACTCTAAACATAATTTATAATTTATGTTATATTTTCATTTTACTATCATTTATTCAAAATGTATACTATTAACTCGTTATTATAATTAAAAATTATTTAAAGTTATTGTAATTAAAATTTTATAATTATCACCACGGTCAACTTAGGTGACAATACCACCTATTATTATTATTATTATTATTATTATTATTATATTTTTTAAATTCATAAATAAACAAATTTATTTAGTATAAAGAAAATTTTCAATCATCATAAAGAATAAAACAATATTAAGAAATATTAATATTTTTAAAAATAATATTTAAATCAAACATAATATCGAAAAATTCTAAAGAATTTAAAAGATATTGTATACCAAATGCTACTTAAGTTCATCCAAATTTTGTCGTTAGTAACACTTATTCAAACATTTTTTTTTAATTATCATGGGTAGCACAAGTTTAGTGTCGTCAATTCGATTTATTACCCTAATAGCTCAGTAATAAACTAAAGTAGATTAAGTTAAAATATTTCACTAACTAAAACGAAAAATGTTAAAAATTTTCAGAATAATTCAGTTTTAAAAAATAATAGTCCAAGCTTAACCTTTTGCAAGTAACATGTTTATGTATGCAGTCATCTTATCATACTTTTTTTAATATATATATATATATATATAATATGTATTAAAGATAAAATATTACATTAACGATAATTCTTTTAAATTTATTAAAAATTAAAATATCAAATATCTATTCAACAAATTTAAAACAAAAAAAAATATTATTAAAGCACTTCATTCAAAAAAATACTTCAAATAATGCCAAATATTTAAAATAAATATATTAACTAATCTCATTTAATTAAAACTTTCTATTTTTAACTGCAATAACTTTTCTCTCATCACTGTGATTCTTATTATCATAATTTATAATTTAGAATCAAATATTGATTAAACTAATAAATTTTATATAATTAATAATTAAATTTTAAAAACAAAATTTTAATTTAAAATAAATAGTATTTAAAAATATATTTATTTACAAAAAAAGTAATACAAGCTATGAGACTGCATAAATTCCACAAAACGAGAAGATTTAAAAATATCTAAATTTATTCAATATTCAATTATATTACCCAAACCCTATTTTTTTCATATATTTTAGACTAAATTATTCAATAAAACTATCTTTTAGGAAACTATCTAACATAGCATTTTTTAGAGACATAAAAAAAGAAAATGATAAATATAATTTAATAGAAAGAAAAAATATTAAATAACTATAATAATTTTAGTTCTAAATCAAATTAATATAAAAATTATCTCTAAAATTTTGTCCATGACTTTCAATCTTTTTACCGTGACAGCAAGTAAGTAAAGCTCATGATCTACCAAATGCGTTTTTGAATTGAAAAGAGGACAAAATCAATTAATTGATCTGACGTTACAACTTACAATAATACAAATATAGATAAAGGTTGATAAGACACTATGCAAGGATATATATTAATGATAAAATAAAAATGAGATGAAAATTATAAGTTTAAAATATATTTTTTTTCGCTCGATGTAATTAAAATAAAAACCAAACTCGATCATTAATCAATAAAAGTTGTTTCACCTTTAAAATTTTGATAATTTTTTATTTTATTTTTTTAAATATACAATTTTAGTCTCAATTTTTTTATATTTAGTCTCATTATTTTTAATTATTCATATATCTAATTTTTAAAATTTTTAAATTAAATTCTTCATCTCAAAAATCTATCCAATAATTAATAAAAATATACAAAATAGTATATGAATTATTTAAATAAAAATACTAAATAAAATGCATAACATATTAAAAAAAATTATTTGTTTTGAATTTCGAACTTTTAGTTTTTTAAATGAGACTAAAATTATACAAAAAATTATTAAATTTAATTCTTTAATTTAACTTGAGATTATCATAAACTTAAACCATATATTCTAAATTAATTTTATTGATTTATGTTATTTGGGAGAGATTTTTTGAAATAAAAATATTTTAATAATAAAATAAATATAAAATAATTTCATTAATTTCCGTAGGGACATGGAAATTAATGAAAAAGCTGTTTTCTGAAGGCTCCTGACTCGTGGTTTGGTTGAATCGTTCAAAGAAAGCAAAAAAGATTAGATGATGACAATTGACAAAGAAAGAATAAAAGATGGTTCTGGATTCTCTATTTGGCGCAACATCATCACGCACTCCAAATTTGTTTACACCAATTAAGTGAAAAATATTAATTTTGGTTAAATTAAAAAATTAAAATTAAAATCGTATAAAAACGTAATTTTTCTTAAATAACAAAACATCACTTAAAATAAAGTGAAGTAAAAAGTAAAAAATTTATCTTTTTTCTCTTTAAATTATGACATATTGATTATATTTAAGTATAATTTATAAAAAACACTTACAACTTACTCTTCATGATTAATTTTGTGTTTTTTTTTTGTTAATTTAAATTTTAAATATCTCAATGTATAATTTAAAAAATCATATAATTTATTTAATATACTAAACTTTAATCCAATCATAATGAAACAAAAACATTAAATTTGAATATTAACATTATAATTAATAAAAAATAAATAATAAATTCATGTTAAGTACATTTTGTTAAGTAAAAATTATTTTTTATACTTAAGTGGATTTAAACTCTAAAGTTATGTTCAAGCTAAAATTGTTAAAAATTTAAATTTCAAGATAATTTACTAAAGAAATCTTTTTCTTTGGTGTTTTACACATTATTGACAATTTTTTAACTTTTTTACTGATTTTGTATATATAACTCAAGATAAATTTTAGTATTTTTTTAAAGATTAAATAGAGATTTTATGAACTTAAAATTAAGTAGTATTTTACTCGGTTTCTTTTGATTGGAAGAGAAATTGAACAAAATATCATTATAGAAAAAAATTATAAAATATGAAAGGAGTTTTTTAATGAAAAAAAAAATTAAATAAGCTAATTTTAGTAGCTTATCATCCTCATTCTCCTTTTTTATTCTAAATCTCATATTACATAGGCCGAAAATATTAGCACCCACCGTCTCGCCTCATATGGCAAAACGTTCACATACAAGATTCCAAAAGAGAGAGTGGCAATTGAATGATGGAGAGAGTTGAGTAGAAATCTGAAGTTGGAATGATCAATAATTCGCAAATCCAAGGTAAGTACAAGGTTCCTGTAGTCACAGGTTAGTGGTACATTCTTACTTCTATTTTCATAACATGTATGAATTCGCGTTTAAATAACTATAAATTTATGTTATATAATCATCTTACTTGTAGTTTTTATGTTTAAAAGTCAAAAACTTTCAAGCCTTGGACACACAGTCATCATCGATTCCTTTGTTTCTGAGGCAAAATAGCGCAACCTTTTTCATTCTTGAAATTTCACTTCTGGGCATGAGTTCTTTACTTTCACAAATGACTTGGTTTTTCTAGAGATAATTGGTGTTTTCTGTGAGTGTTTTCGCGTTGTAATTTCCCAGTTTAATTGAGCTGGAGCCCAAAGAGATATGATTATTTTGCTGGTTCAGTGTTATAATCCGATATGTACGACATTCAAAGGATGTTACTTATTCATTTGTTTCTTTTTTGTGCATGGTGATAAACTCTTTTTTTTGTGTTTTGTTTATGGCTCTAAGAGACTTATTTTTTACAATTTAAGAAAATTTCTGGTCAAATTTCAATACAGTCGGAGAACTATTTTGCTGGGCAGCTAAGATGTATCGTTAATATTGGTCTTGATTTGTGCAAACCGAGACGGGATGATGATTATCATATATTTCTGGTAAGGATTCAACTAAGTTATCCTATACAATAAATAATCTTATCCTAAGTGAATTAACGAAGTTAAGATATTGGATTAAAAATTGTATCAATTTTTTATAAACAAAATTTCATGATGATGTTATTTACCATATGGGGTAATTTAGGCAAACTCAATTGGTAAATTTTGTTCCATTATGACTCAACAGGTTTGAATTGCAAACATGGTATTTTTCCCAATTCTATGTTGATGTGAGTGAGAATCTTGAGGTTCAATGTAAAGGGTTTATTATTCATTTGTTTATTTATCTTTGTTGCCATGCTTGAACTTGTGTGTATTGATACTAGGTACGATATTAAATTGTGCTGATAGAGCAAAGCTGTGAAATGGTGACCATCAAGGCATCTTACAGGGTGATTCCAAATGAGCCAACTCCCAATGGTCCTTTGTGGCTTTCTGAAAGTGACCAAATGGTGCGTTGGACTCATGCTGCTACACTCTACATTTACAAGGCAAACCACAAAGATGATGCCATTGAGAGAATGAGAGACTCTCTTAGCATGATTTTGGTGCATTACTATCCAATAGCTGGTCGATTAAGGTGGATACAAGGTGGTCGATTGGAGTTGGATTGTAATGCAAAAGGGGTGGTGTTGATGGAATCTGAATCCACAAAAAGAATGGCTGAATATGGAGACTTTTCACCCAAAGAACCCATCGAGGACCTTATTCCTACATTTGATTATACTCAACCAATAGAAGAGATTCCCTTGCTGGTTGTACAAGTCACAAGGCTCTATGATAAAGGTGTTGCTATTGGAGTTGCTCTTTCACATTCTCTGGCTGATGGGTTTGCTAATGTTTGTTTCATCAACACATGGGCCAAGTTGGTTCGTGGAGATACATTAGACATGGATGAAATGTTTCCAACTTTAGATAGATCAATAATGCTCAAATCCTCATACCCTTCATTTGCACCACGTTTTGATCATCCAGAGATGTACCCTCTTCCCCTCATGCTAGGAAAATCTGATTGCATGGAAGAGAAAAATAAGAGCCTCACGGTTGCAACATTGAAACTCACATCACAACAAGTGGAGAAACTGAAGAAGATGGCCAATGATCAAACTCAGAGAAAAGGGTCTAGACCTTATAGTAAATATGAAGCTATTGTTGCATATATATGGAGATGTGCATGTAAGGCTCGTCAACTTGATGACACTCAACCAACTCAAGTTCGGTTTCTTGTTGATATTCGCAACAAATTAAATCCACCTCTCCCTCAAAACTATTTTGGCAATGCTGTGGCAAGAACAGTGTCACCAATGTGCAATGTTGGAGAACTTATATCAAGCCCTTTGAGCTATGCTAGCCAGAAAATAAGGGAATCAATTGAAATACTAACAAATGAGTACATAAGGTCGCAGCAAGATTTTATTAGGGGGCAGGAACACTTGGATTGGATAAGGGCTTCTTATATACGTCCTAAAGAAGATAGGAATGCCCCATTTGATGGGAATCCTAATCTTGGGGTTGTGAGTTGGATGAGCATGCCATGGCAAAAAGCAGATTTTGGATGGGGGAAACCTATGCATTTCGGCCCTGGACACATGTGGCCTAGTGACATTGGAGTCATTATTGGAGGCCCAAATGGGGATGGTTCTATCATCATATCTATGCATTTTCAAGTAGCACATATGCAACTTTTCACCAAGTTCTTTTGGCAGGATATGTTAGATTCTAGCCTTTGATGATAAATATTTTATCATCAAAGCATTTAAAGTAAATATGGCGTAAAAAAGCATTTAAAGTAAATCTTATGCTGGCTCTCATTTACGTTAGCCCTTCAAAAGATGAATAAAAAATAGAGATTAAAGATGGAAAATAGTGAATGATTTATAAGATGATAATCCAGTAAAAAGGATCCATCTCACTTTTAGATGCAAACCTATGAAGTAGTTTTCAAATTGCTAGTAAAATCATCCAACACGACATTGAGCATCCATGTCTATAACACCACTTCCCAAAAAGCCATCCAGGTTATTATTTTCTATGTGAAGAATTCGAGCATGCAAATACTTACCCCATTCCAAATCAGAAATCTTGGCACCTGCATTGAGTTCACCAAACACGTCATGCAATTGACTCTAAAATCATAGTTAAGTTGTTTGATAGGTAGTTATGACTTAATTTTTTAAAGCTTAAATCTAACTAAACTTATTTAAATAATAGCATTAATTTATTCTTTTTAAAATATTTAATTAATTAAATATATTAGGTTTAAGTTTGTAAAGAAGTCTATTTAAGACTCATAAAATTTATAATAATATATTAAATAATTTTATATAAAAATTATAATATATTAAAGAAATTCTATTTTTTTTGTTAAAATTGGAGTGTTTTTGCTACATATTTTCTGAGAAGAAAAATGTTTGTTATTAGAGTCTTTTGTGTTACCGTTGCTTGATCTGTTTTACACACAAGATGTTGATTGTGTTTGTGTCAAATATGTTGTATGAAAGTAATAAATAAGAATATATAATTTTATTACAAATATTTAAAATGTTAAACTATTTTTTATGTCTTATTTAGTTATAAGCCTTGTAGTTTTTATAAAAATATGTATATTTATGATTTTTTTCTGTTAAATGGGACTCAAAAGTCCAAAAACAAAACAATCACCTAAGATTACCAACTAGGCCACAAAATTCTAGGAGCATCTAACCTTAAAAATGACTCTAAAAAAGAGGAGTTTTATCAAAATAGTAAAAAAGCAACCCAACTTTAGGTCTTATCTTAGCCAACCAATCAACATATTGGTTAGCTTCTTTCAAAATATGGTTAAACTTAATAAACTTAATACTCTTGAGAAATTTTCTTATATCATTTGCTTACAATTTGAATATTAATAATTAAGGAAATTGTTTCCTTAGAATCACACACTATTCAAATTAAATAAATATTTTTATATATAACAAGTTGAAGACTCCAAAATTTTCTCACAATTCAACAATAAGCGGAACAAGAGTCTAAAGATTTGTAGAAACTAATCATGCAATTGCCTTTATTGTCTCAAATAAGTCCCCTATAACTAGCAACACCAAGAACTTGAGAGGTTGAGCCATCAACAATGAGATTGTAAAGAGTATTCACTCTTACAAATTATTTTTAGAAAGTAAAATTAAAGGAATTAAAGAAAGTTGATTCGATCTAGAATCATATTTTTAGTAAGATTGTTAGAAAGAATTGTTCCGTTAAAGTTTAAATTAATTTGAAGATTGTAATAATTCTAACTAAGTTTTTATTTAAAGTTGACAAGTTATGTAATCATTTTCATTTTATTTATTTTGAATGTATAATACTTTGATAAGTTTTATTGTAATTAATGATTTGAAGTGTATATGTAATATTTGATAGTTAGCTATTTTAATTGTAGTTTATGTTTAATTTTAGATAGAAATTTATTATGTTGAAAGACATTGTTATTTATATTTTAAACTTATATGTGTATATAATATGAATTAAGTAAATTGTCAAAAGGTAAATTTTAGTCTTTATTCTATTTAAAAAACTTAAAAATTTTGAAATTATTTCTTTGAAAATTTTATATACTTTTGAGTTTTTATGATCTAAATAATAGAAATATAAGTTTTACTTTTTCTTTGATTCTTTGAGTTATAAATATAAAAAAATTTATTTTATTTTCCTTTCTTATAATAAATTATTATCAATATTAATAATAAATTAATGATGTTACACAATGGGGTAGTGGCTTGAATTTAGAGAGCTTAACCTTGAAGTACCTTCTCTGCCCTAAACCCCACTTTGATTGCAATTTCTCAGGGCGGCTAGTGTCAAAACCTGAGTGGCGTCTCCCTTCTTTTCTTGAAAACAAACACTCTTGGAGCCCTAAGAAAAAAAAACCCTAATGGTGCCTCAGCATTTTTGTATATTTATATAATTTGGTTACCTATTTACAAAAGAAGTTTAATAGTCTATTAAAAATTTTAGTACGAAGTAGACAATTAAAAAATTATTAAACTAAAATAAATTTTTAAAAAAGTTAAACTAAACTTAATAAAAAACTCATGACAAACAATATGTCAGACTCATGTTTCAAAATCATTAGATCAAATTTATTTATGCATAACTTAACCTATTTCCAACCCTAATTACACATCTCCATAACATACTAAGACATTGAACTCCAAGACCATGTTGAGAGAACATTAAGATCAACATACTATAACACTTAATTAAACTTCAATCCTATCAAATTTTGATTGCATATTTTAGTAAATTTTTTTATTGTTTAATTTTTTTCTCTTTCCCATTTTTCCTCTTACTGTCATTCATATCTCTAACTCTCATTTCTCACTTCCCTTGGAACTTTAAAAAAAACTTAACACATTTTGACAAATTTTTCATTTAGATCTTGAAATTGTAAGAGAAAACAAGGAGCAATGCAATGATAATAACATCAAATACAAATTAGGTATCAATAATAGTTTTGATGAAGACAAAGTCTCTTACTATTTTTCTCTTTTTGCTCTTCCTTAAAACTTTCTTTATGATCTTTTATATATATAAATTCTAACAAAATACACATTTTGTCAAGCATGAAAGGTGTTTTAATTTTGTCATAAACATTTCTTTACCATATTATTGCTTCAACTATTAATTTTATGATAACACAAGAGAATTGAATCTCAACCGAAAATATATCTAGTAAGAAGCAAAAGAAAGTAGTAACAATTGATTTAGTTGAAAAAATTGATATTTTAATATTGATGAAGATTAAACAAAATAGAATTGAAGGGTGTGATTTAATATTGATTGTGAAAAAATAAAAATTAGATAAAAAATTTTTGAAGTGGAAATGACAACTCAACAATTATGAACTTTTAAGATACTCGATAGTCAATCTTTTAAATTTTTTTTTTCTCTTTCCACCATTAAAAATTTGTGCAACAATAAACAAGGAGCGAGGGAAAAAAAAAGCCAAAAAATATATAAGAATTACTGCCTTTTTTTGGATTTTATAAGGAGAAAAATATAAATAATAATTTTTAATGGAATTAACATTTTTAACCAAAAATAATTTATTTAAAATATTTTTGTAAGTTAAAAACTAATATATATATATATATATATATATATATATATATATATATATAAAGATCAAATTGAAACAAAAGTAATTTACTAATTTAACCTAAATGTACATACAGATCATACCATAATAATTTTAGTAAGTTAAGAGATAATAATTTTATTTGACAAAAATAATCTTACTATATTTTAATTATATTTTTTTATCATTAAGTTTAAGAGATAAAAATTTTGTTCAACAAAAATAATTCTATTATATTTTAATTATACTTTGTATTTTTTATCAATAAAACTTTCCTATTCTGTAGAATAGCTGAGGTTCGTTTTAGGAAAACTTTGATCAATAATTTTAGTATACCGTTGAGTTTATTTCTGCTTAAACAAATATTTTCGCTTAAGCCAACGAACAGCGAAAAAGACGAGTGAGGAACCATGTGCAAACTCTCAACTACCCTCGAAAGAAGAACTTGTTTTTCTTCACACTTGAGCACAGCAAAAGCAACCAAGAAACATTAACCACCCTATGAAAGCGTAAAGGTCATGGTCTACAAGACATGGTCATCACAGAAAGGAGCAAAAGAATCAGAACCAATAATAAGCACTCCAAAGCTTCAATGGAAGAAGATCTTCTTCCACTCCAAAAATAAAACCCAAACCCAAAACCAAAACCAAAACCAACCTAAAGAGTTCCCCTCCACCATTTCAGGTACTCTCATGGTAGACCCAATCATTGTCTCTTCAGGCCATTCCTTCGAACGTTCTTCCTTGGAAGCATGTGAAAATCTCAACTTAACCCCTCAACTCTCTGATGGCACTACCCCAGATTTCGGCACCGTAATCCCCAACCTCGCCCTCAATTCCGCCATACTCAAATGGTGCAAAACCACCTCAACATCCCGATCCCACCATTCATCCAACCACAATCTCGTACGCATGCACCTTAATCTTCTCATCCCAAGTTCCCAACCTTACAAAACAGCAACCTCGTTATGCCAAGAGAAAGTTTAGTGCTTTCTCTTTTATTTTTGTATGATCCATTGACAAGTTTAACGAGTAGTAGGATATATAATAACCCGAAATGCAATTCTCCAACATTTAGAAGAAAATGACATATGGACCAAAAACAAAAATAAATGACACAATAGCCAGCAAGGTAAAGAAATACTGAAAGCATCACCACTATCTTCCATAACTTGCAATTAAATCCAAATTATTTGAGTCACAAGAAGCCATATCCTCCATAAGGCAATAATGTTCTAGGTGCTATAACATATATTCTCATAATTAAGAGACTCTACTTAATCAAAGATAGTTAAGAGAGAGAAAAACACATTATAAGTCTCATAAATATCATGGGACACAAAAGTATTGTCTTATTTATCTTTTCCACTCACTAAGCCGCTGCCTCTTTTTGAAGTTTGATTGACTTGAGGTCGTCAATTAGATTTTTCATGTTATTATAAGAAGACCCACCAACTTGAATGGCCTTCTTTGCAGCATCACTTAGAACTTTGACTCTTTTCCTCATTTCCAAACACTCCTCCCCACCATCCATCACTTTTGCAATTGCCTTTCCAATGTCCTCCCTCTTCAATACTTCATTCGAAGGGTTATGCAAATATATCCATTCTTTTGCTCC